TGCATTTTCATGTGTCTCTGAGTTGTGGACCTTTTCTGAACCAGACTTGGTTCAAAGATGCCAGCTCTGGGAGGTTCTTTGATGAAAAGAAACTTTAGGCAGGGAATGGTTCTGAGATCCTTAAACGCATTTTTCTCAAGTGAATATCTGCCCTTAAGAAAGAAAGGTGATTTCCTTTCAATTTTTAAAATGATCTTTTTTGCTTAACATGTCTGGACAGTCATGGTGTCAGGTGTCTGTAAGCATCACTTTTCACACATACCCCAAAATGATCTGTGTGGTGAGTAAGGAGTTCAGGCCCTGCAGAGTGCTTTATCCTTAGCGTGGCTGCCAGTGGGGATGTTTTTAATTTGATCTGAATACCACAGCTGGTTTTGAGAACGCTTCTTATAAAGCATACTTCTCAGGAGTCTTTTGGGGTATATTTAGGCTGTTAAATCCTCTACACCTTTTTCATCTACTTCAGCACTTTTCACATTTGCAGATGCAGAATTAAATGGCTCATGAAATATCTTGTAACAAATGAAGTTGACAATACAAAGTAATGGAATAAGCTATTGCTAATATCAGATATCTGTATGCCTAACAGTCACTGCACATTGTGGGATAAAAATGATCAGAACAGATGACACTTCTTAACTCAAGGGATAAATTATGCTACAGGTAAGATGCTAAAACAGTGAAACAGAAGAGATTTACCTAGATGGAAAGGTTCAGCCACATCAGCAACCCCTGCACTTCACATTCCCTTAGGGGTTACAGGCAGCATTCAGAAGGAATAATTATAGCTAGGGGAAAAAGATCAGAAGGTCTATTAGATTAGTGCTTTTGTAAGAATGTTTAAATTCTTCAAGCCACATCTGCGTTATCTGGAATGACTTTAAGGGAGAATGGCTTCATTTCTGTTATTCTTTATAGCTAGTAGAGAAGTAAAATTTTGCAGGTATGCAAAAATCATCCCATACACTTCTGTAACACCTTGCTGTTTCCAGGGTGTTTTGTGAACTTCGTTTTGGAAGCTTTCCGCTCCCAGCTGATGAACATGCTCTTTCGACAGAGGTTGTGGTGGCCCACTGCGATTTCCCCACAGGTTGTGAGAGGAAGTGGAGTATCCTTTAGCCACCAACAACTTCAGAAAACAAAGTGAAGGGAATTGTTATTTATTTTTATTGCTAACAGAGATTATAAGAGATGGAGGTGGAGTGCAATTGTCTAAAGTGATACTGAACAACAATGCTGAGCAAAGGCCCTGACTCTTGCAGGAAGGAACAAAACCAGTGGAAGTGGATTTTGAAGCTCACATAAAGTGCATCTCTGAGCAGCACATCACTTTTGTTGTCACATTCAGGCAATTTGCATTAGTGATTGCGCGGACTGACTGGCCTGGGGCAATGGGCATTTTTTTCTTGAGAGATGTCTTATCCAAATCTTGGCCTTGTACAATATGATCTGTAAGAAGCCCCTAATCTGAAATTGGATGGCTCCCAGAGTCAGCTCTGAGTTTTCCAGTGCTGATACAAAGGCAGAATCTGTCAATCTCTGTATAAAAATCAACCAAGAATGTGGGAGGGTTTGGCCCAGTGGGAGACCTGTAGGTGTATGTTGTGTTTTTTTTTCTGCAATTAGCTCCAGGTAGGTTTTCCATGTTGATTTGTACAACTATCGAGCCTTATACAGAGGTTTGTAGTATTTCTTCTGGTGGCCCAAACCAATCGGAAAAGAATCAAAATATTTCAGAATTAGACATCTCTAGCAGCAGAGATCCTGCTGGCCAGATCTTCAGCACATAGGAATTGGCATTGCTGCACTGACTCTTAGAACTGAACTAGTGTGTAGGTGCAGAGGATGCACGCGCTCTCAATATTTGTACTGGTACACATCCACAGAAGGGCAGGGCAGAGAAGTGAAGAAGGGTCTGCCAGGTCATGCTCCTCTCATTCTGCTGGTAACAATTTCTCCTGATACCTTTTCACATCTTCCTGTTAAACTTGTTCCTTGGGTACACAAAACCACAGGGTCTCCTGCTCTCTGGGACTGCTTTGATTTCTCCCTAAGCCTCATCCTCTACCATACAGTAGGAATGTCTGGTGTCAGTGAGACCTCCCAGACATCTTTCCTATATTTTTCATCTAAGGGAATCTAGAAAAGAGGTGGTTTCTCGGTAGTAAAGGCTGGTCCTTTGTTGAAGTAATCTGTCTGCTCTTCCCAATCCAGTGCTTGGGACAGGGAGGCCTGAGTTTTGTTTTAGGGAGGCCTTTGGATTTGTTTTAGCGCTTCATGAGATGCACACCTGGGATGCAAATGCCTTAAAAATGAAAAGGAAATACTTATTGCGTTTCGTCTTTCACAGCAAATTGGGGTAATCTGAGATTTAATTTATTCACTAGTTGAAAGGGAAGTGGAAATCAAGCCAGCATCTTTCTTTTGAGCCAAGCTCTTTCTTGTGCACCCCTGTGGAGGCTCACACAAAAGAGCTCTGATCACTCTAACTAGGTGCTTGTCCTAATTATAGAAAGATTTAGCTTTGCTTTCATAATTGCCCACTGCACTTGGGCACATGGCATTGTTATACTACAAAAGCTTTTTTTTTTTTTTGTCCCCAGCAGGCCCAGCGTCAGCCTGTTTAAGGGAGCTGCAAGGAGCAGTATTACTCTGAAGCAACCTCACACAGCTTTTCCAGGAGAGGCCAACAAAGTCAGCTGCAGACCCACTCCCTTGGCTGAGAACATGGCCAGTGCCTGGGATCTAGCAGTTAAAGCAGGGGGTTCAAAGGCTGGGCCACAGCCTTGGGCAGCCTGTGTTGAACCAGTGAGCTGTGATCAGGAATTAGGGATTTTGTGTGCAGTAGTTTGGGAGTTTTAGATGGGTACTTCACTGTTAGGCCCAGTTTCAGCCTCACCCATGGAGGTAATGAATTTACAAACACCAAAATCTACAGCAGAACTTCCACAGGTTCAAGGGGATGGAGTAGATCCTTTTGCCATATGTCTAAGCTTGTTTTATCCTCAGTGTGTCGGCGGGGTAATCACCCTGAGCTCTGCCCTTGGTGAGTTGTATCTTGAGAGAATGTTTACCAGTAAACCTGCCTCAATAAACAGATCGTTTGCTTCATAATGTGAGTATTTCTAAATACCTTTTTTTCCCTGTCTCTACCTTTTTGTGTGCAACTGTATCCACGCAAATATGAGTGGAATCACAGTATGGAGATTGTTTCCAGAATGCGGTTAGAAACAGTAGCTCTCCAAGAACTATTGATTACCTATTTGGTCTCCTTGTGGTTTTGGTTGCTGGCATCCTTTTATAGTATTTTTGCTTGGATTAATTGTGGTAGCAGCATCCTTCCAAAACCCCATCCTAAATACTTCCAATTTGCCACCAGGGATTCCCAGGCATTACTGAATTGCAGTTTTTCTTATCAGAAAGATGCTGAGTGAGAAACAACATAGTTCCTTCTTCTTGCAACGGGAGAAAAAATGTATCAGGGTGACAGAGCACTGGCACAGGTTGCTCGGGGTGGTTGTGGAGTCTCCTTCTCTGGAAATACTCAAACCCCACATGGATGCCACCCTGCACAATGTGCTCCAGGTGATCCTGCTTGGCAGGGGGGTTGGACTAGGTGGTCTTCAGGTCTTCCAACCATGGCCATTCTGGGGTTCAGAAATGCTGAGTTGAAATAGGTGACTACCAAGCTAGGAGTTAGTTTCAGGGAATATGAATGCTTTATCACAAATAATGTGTATTTATGACAATTCAGCAATATTTTGTGTTCTCTGCTCTGTGCCTCCCCTCCCAGACATGGCAAAGTGGCTGTGGTTTTGTTCACCTGTCTCTCAGGCCTTTTACCCCCACCTTTATTGCAGGAAGGCTGTGGTGAGGAGGTTTAAAAGACATTTAGATGTAGAGTTTAGCGATTTGGCTTAGTGGAGGACTGGCTAGGGTTAGGTCAGAGGTTGGACTCGGTGATCTTGGGGGTCTCTTCCAACCTAGATGATTGTGATTCTGTTTCGCATAGCACCTCCAAAATACCATTTATTATCAGTTCCATTTCTTCCAGCAAGGATCTAAACGGGAAACCTTTTTATTATCATGATTTCTCGGCTCCGCGACCACTCCCCTTGTGGCCCCCAGCCCCACGCAGGGGGCCGTGTGATGGCGGCCCCGCCCGCAGACTACATTTCCCGGCGTGCCTCGCGGGGCAGGGCCGAACCACGCGCGGGGGCTGCGGCGGCGGCGCTGCGGCGGGGCGGTGAGTGCGGGCACCCCGCGGGGGGGGGGGACACAGCAGGGCAGGGGGAGTTAATTAGTGCGGGTGTTAATGGGGGGGGGGGCCCGCTGGGGTGCCCCCGGGTGTCACGGCGTGCAGGGGGCTCCTTCAAAGCGCAGCTGGGTTTGGGCAACTGCGCTTCTGTGTCTCGGGTGTAAGGGTTCCGTTTGTTTTATGGGGTTTTTTGTCACTGCAGTGCATGGGCATGGGGCTGGGGGCGAGCTCGGGTGCTGTGCCCCTGCCTCTGGCACCACAACTGCTCCTCGTGCTCGTGACGAGCACAGAATTAATATATTAATAGATATACACACTATATATATTAAAAAAATGGCTGTTTGGGACTTTGGCCATCCAATGAAGGAGATTTTACAAAAGCCTGCAAGGAGCAGCAATGCTTTAATGAAAACCCCTTGGGGAAAATGCCTTTTGAAGGTGCTGACGGAATGCAAGAGATCCCCAGCAGGGGAAGAGGGACAGCTGTCCTTGGGAGGTGCACCTGGAATTGGCTGTGGCTGGAGGGCCAGGTGCATTTTCTCTGAGTTTGACCATAGCTCAGAGGAGCCCTGCTCGGCCAGCTGCCCCTTCCCGTGTGAGGAAGAGCTGGGGTGCTGCGGGCAGCTTTGCCTGGTGCCGACAGGTTGTGTTGTGGCTTTTCTGTCCTAGAGCTTGTAAGGAAATAAGCAGAAGTAATGAAGTTTAGGTAAGGTTCATGTATAGGGTCCCTTGCGTTATATTACCCTGTTCTGCTGATTGTGTTCTTGTGGACTGTTCCTGAAAGGCTTGACCTGTGTCGCTGTAGGTGTTTTTGGTTACAAGGCTTCCAAAAGGGAAGGCACAAGGCAGACCAACCCCACTACAGGGTCACAGCAAGAAGTAGGAAACTTTCTTGATCAAGTTTAACCGTAGGAGAATGAGTGGGCTCCGTCTTGATGGGGTGAAAATCCCACACTGTTATGGATGCTCTGGAGAGCTTGCAGAGCAGGTGACCTGTGCTGCTTGATCCATGGCGTAAACAAAGACTGGTCGGTCGTGTTTGCTAATACCTGCCTAAGGGAAAATAAAGAAAAATACAGCTAGTTGGTAATCTTTTTTTCAGATTTGAATCGTCTAAAGTGATATAAAGAGTCCTGAAATCTGTATCCTATATTTAATGAATTAGATGTTTACTCCAAGTAATGAGTACAAGTGCTCCAAAGTTGTTAGTGTGGTTAGCACGTATTTTTCACACCCTCATCTTCCAGAGGAGGGGTGAGCGAGGAGGGGAGTGACACACCTCGGGCTTATGCCAGGCCTGCGAAACAGCCAGGACTGGGTTGTTGATATCCACAGGCATCTGTCCTGGCAGAGCAGCCCCTGCCTGGCGCCTGGATGGGATGGAGGTGATGAGAAAGTGAGTTTTGTTCAGCCACCCCAATCAGGTCCCTTCCTCTGCCCTGTGTGCAGCTGTCTGCCACTGACCCCTGGAGCCCGTGCAGGGTTTCCAGGGATGCACTGTGTCTCCTCCCCAGTGCTCGTCAGTGCTGAGGAGCTTTTGCAACCAGTCTGGCAGAGTTTCTAATAAGTTTTGGGCTCTCTTAGTGTTGAAAGAGCTTTCTTTAAACCCTGCTTTTAAAAGAAGTCTTCTAGTATCCCCTTACAACCTGCCTATGCTACGACAGCTTCAAAACACGTGCAGAGAAGGGGCAGCCTGTTCCTGTGATCTGAACTGGCTTCTGGTGAGCACGTGCTCCTTCCTGTCCGACCACCTGTTGTTTCTCCTTGTAAAGCCTTTGGGACCATGAGCAAATGTTGAGTGGTGGTTACACAAGGTCTAGCAGAGTGAGTTACTTCTGGATTTGCGGCCTGTGGACACTTGATTTGGAAATAACAGTGGGGTGAGAGCAGAATTGCTTGTGTTTGGTTGCTGCGTGATTGCATGAGGTCTTGGCTGGGAGCAGTGCTAGCAATGCATAATTAGAAAAGGAGTGATTGAAACTTAAACTCTAAGGTCCCTGTAGGCTTCACTACATCATTCTCAGGTGTTGCTTTTTTGTGTCTTGGCAGGGTTCGTCAGTCATGGCACGAAGGGCCTTGAAGCTTGCCTCACTGGCAGCAGCCACTTCTGGCATCTATCTGTATGGCAACAGGTTCCTGGACCCCAATGATTTTGGAGTGGTTCGTGTGGGCCGAGCCATTGCCACAGTAAGTGTCGTACAAGTGAAGTACTGGAAGATTTCTAGGTGGGTAAAGGAATTGGAGTTCACAAAAACTTGGGATTCCTTGCAGTCCCTCTCTCCTTTTCCATTTAGCAGTTGTCTCCCTGAGTCAGACGGTCAGGAGGGGGCTCTTCAAGTTGTTGACACACTGAGGAGAAAATGGGTGAAAGCATAGAAGGAATAGGGTTGTTATTTGCACATTTTGGGAAGAGCCAAACAGATATTGGGCTGCAGAGAACTGTCCCTGTCTCCCTGGATTGGGTGGGGCCTTCAGAAGAAGGGCTCACTTTGGGCCCACATGGCCATCAGCCACCCTTCAGGGTCAGTTATGTGGTAGGGTCTCCTGCTGCCTTTAACAGTGATGTAGTTCAGACTGCCGTGTCTTGATTTGTAACTTGCACATGCAACTTTTTACACTGAGACCTTTTGTTTAAAGCATTGAGGTTGTCGTATTGGTGTGCTATGGCTGCCATTGCCCTGAGAGCCTAGTTATAAGAAATTTGGGCAGAGAAGGGCAGGTGCTTTGTAGATCATTCTCAAAGCAAATGTGAAGTGAGAGTGGGAGGTGATCTGCTCCTGAGATTGTGTTGGCTTCCAGATATAGAAAATAAATCCTCGTGTCCTTAATAAAGGTGTCCTAATAAACCTTCCTGGCATCATTGCTATTTCACCCTTGTGTTGATCACAGCTTCAGAAAACCTGAGGATGGAGACTGCCAGCCAGGTTGTTGCCTTCTCCTGGGGGACATTCAGTGATGAACCCATGAGCAGCCAGGAACAAGGAGAGCAGAGACTCGGGAGGGGTTATTGGTCTACCTGTACCTCACTTGCATTATGCACCTGTCACTTCAGGCCACAATCTCCATCATTTACAGACCCCTAGTGCTAAGCCTCTGTCTGTCTGCATGTTCTATGACTTCTAAGCACTTAATTAATGAGTTTTACAGGCAGTCAGCTCCTGAGGGCAGATGCAATATGAAACAAGCTCTGCTGGTTGGCTCACATGCCATGCCATTTGTATGTGCAGGCTGCGCAATGAATTGTTGTGAAAAAATGTTGATTTTGAAAAGCGCGAGGGCAGAAATATGAATTTTAGTCTTTCCTTCTTAAAACAGGTGTTAAATTTTGTGCTCTGTCCCTGACTATAAAGCAGCACTGCCGGTGGCAGGGAGCAGCTCTCCCTTTTTCTGCATGTGAATGTGGGCACAGAGAGGGAGCACAGATTATTGCAGCTCGAGAAGAGTCTGTTATCCAGGGTGTTTGGGCTGCCCTGTCTGCCCATGAGTTCTGTCTGCTTGATCAACGTTTCTTCATCTACTTGAAACCGGTGTTTGTTTGCTTGTTTGTTTTTTGTGGCTGTCTTCTGTTTAAGACAAAAAAGAGTGAGAAGTATGCAGTGATGAGGCTGTGCACAGTCAGTCTGTGTTTTGAGTGGCATGAGAGTATTTCCCCAGTGAAAAAGTAGGGGGAAGAAGATTTTCATCAGAGAATCACAGAACAGCAGAGGTTGGCAGGGACCTCTGTAAGGTCACCTGGTCCAACCCCTGCTCAAGCAGGGCCATCCCAGAGCAGGTTGCCCAGGCCCATCTCCAGGTGGTTTTTGAAGATCTCCAAGGAGGGGAGACCCCACAGCCTCTCTGGGGAGTCTGTGCCAATGCTCAGTCACCCACACAGCATAGAAGTCCTTCTCATGTTTAGACAATGTTCCTGGTGTTCCTTTGCTTTAGATGCTGGTGAATCTAAAGATGTGCTTGACTTTTGTGTCCCCTGCCTTCAGGGAAGTCAGTAAGTCATGGGCTGAAAAGCACTTTGCTGGCCCTGCTCTTTAATGCCTTTGAGGGTTCTGCATCCATGGCTACGAGCCAGAAGTGCTGCCAATGCTCTGATGGCAGCATGTGCTTGTGTCTGGGTATTTTTCAAACAAGAATTTTCTGTCTCTTAAATTTCTGTTGCTTTAATGCATGTGACTGCATATGGTCAGGTTGGTCCTGAGAGATCCTTTAGTCCTGCTGCACCAGTGATCTGTCTTCCCACGTTGGGGTCAGCTCCTAGCTGGAAAGGCAGGGGTCAGCTCTCACCTGAGCACTGGCAGCACAAACTGGTCTAATTCCTGGGCCATTCACAGGCCGAAGCCAGTAGGGCAATTTGACGTGTTCATTTCTAAGAAGCTTTCAGCTTCTTGGGATTTCTCTTTCTGTAAATGAAAGCTGAGGTTCTGTAGCAAACTTTGGATATTGGTGGCATCTACACAGACCTAATGTGTCTGTCCTTCCATCTAGCCCTGTCCAGGCTGCTTAACTGGATGCTTGACCCTATCATTGGATTGTATTCAGACAAAAGGAGGCTGTAACTGGAAGGCTGTAGTTCTTAAGAACAGAGTTCAGCAGCATCAGATGAAAAAATGTAAGATAAGTTATTGTGTTGGGGAAAACAACCAACCAACCAAAAAAAAAAACAAAAACAGCAAAATTTGAAAAAAGAACATATGGAGGTCAAGAAACCTGAGTTAGAACTCTAAGACTCCAGGCAATTTTCATCTGAGTTTGATTAGGAAGATTTGAAGTGTGCCTGTATTTTAAGCATGTTGGTGCAGTTGTCTTTGCGGACTTCCTAAGATACTTGATGAAGTTCCCTAAGTAGAAAACTTCTTTCCCAAGCCTCAGTTCAGGGAACTGGCTTTTGCTTACATGTAGATAGATAAGTATTCAGAAAAAACATTTTGCCATGACCTGATGAGATCCAAGGATAGCTGTAGGAGTCATGGAGAGAGTGTAAGGAGTGGAGAGTTAATGGAATCGAAGTGGAAGCACAAGTCTTTGGTATGCTTAATACTAGGTTGGATACAGGATCTGTTGAAGTAATCCAGCATTTGTAAGGGGAGGTTGATCTCAGTAGGTCTTCTTATGTCTTGGAGACTCAGCCTCACACTAACATAAGTTATGGTGCTAGTCTTGTATAAGAATGAAGTCAGTAGACTGGGCGGCATCACATTTCAGTACAGTTCCTGTGCTCTGGTAAAGGAACCTGGCAGAGCAGTTGTGCGTTTGCCATATTTCTTTGAGGGGCTCCAGGTTGTTTTGGGTCCATGGAGTGAATATTCTGTGCTGTAGCTGGGATATATCTCAGACACGAGCAGGGATTTGGCAATGTCAGGGTTGCCTATCAGGATCATCATAATACTAATTTAGTGTTTAAGATTATGATGTAATTAGCAAACTGCTAAATTAATTCCCTCTTCCTCTGTAATACAGGCCAATCTGTTAGCTGCTTCTCTTCAAGTTGGAGGTGATAATTACCCTCGTGGGCCAGAGATAAAATGAGAACCAACTCAAGCATTCATGCCAGGCTGATTTGAACGTCCCTCCACTTCAAAGTTATTCTTTGAGGTTGGAAAGATGCTTTGAATTTTTTTTCTTCCAAGTGTGTGTCTGCATAGCAGTGTAGTTCCTGAGTTCAGTCATTAAGGGCAAGAGAGCCTGAAAAGCCAGAAGAAAAAAAAATAACTGTTGTACTCAGTTTCCAATCTGGGAAACAGGAAACGTGAGCAACCTAAGCTCCACATGGAAAAAAGTGTGTCTATTTTTAACTGATTCCCTGTTGATTTCCTTGTGGAAGCATCTCTGGTCTTTTGACTGTTTCCCTTGTGTCTGCTCCAGTAATGCTGTTTCAAACCAGACTGGATCCTATCTTCTCCCTGGCTCTGCTGATCCCTTGTCTATGCTTTATGTGCTTGATCTGTGTCCTTCCTAGGCATTTTGCAGTGAAAGGGGGGCTGTTATCCCATCCCGTTGTTCATTTGCTGGCATTCTAACTGTGAAAAGAGAGAAACTTCAGACGGAGGATGGAGTTGTGAAATACCCAAGATCCATTTTCAGAAATCATTAGGACACTTAGGAACCTAATTCTATTGTCTGTGGCTATATTTAGCTAATAAGCTTTAGATGGATCCCCATACTGTACCTCTGTGATTGGGTATCTGACCCTTTTGCCCTCTAGTCCTTCAGGAAGTTGAATATCCCGAGTACTTGTGCTAATCAGGGAGCTTCTCTTCAGCCACTCCGTTCCCTGCTGAGCCATCTGACCAGACTGAGCTGACCAGTGTGGTTAGGCAGGCAGGAGGTGTAAAGATGAAGTGTGGGGTAACTGGTAGGGCACAAACAGGACTTCATGATCTCTTACTGGCAGCAGACCTTATTGTGGAAACCCCAGGTGGCTGGCTGAGCATAGGAGCCACAGTGCAAGGTGCTGTACAGAAATTACAAAAGCTCTTTGAGTTTCTCATATGGAAGACAATATAGGTGTGTCAAGTGCTGATTTTTTTTTGGGGGGGAGGTGCATATCAATGAGATCAATGCACTGTTTTCTATAAATGTTCATTCAAATGTATTTTTTGTTCAATTTCTTCTGAGTCTGTTACTGTAAACTCCACTATAGAGTCTAGTCTTTGGAGCCTAAGCTACATACATTTCTCCTTAACAGACAGTTTATTGTTTTTTCTGGTTTAATTTGCAGACGGCAGTAATCAGCTATGACTACCTCACCTCCCTTCGGAGCGTCCCGTATGGATCAGAGGAGTATGACTCCCTTAAATCACAGGTAGGTGATACACTGAACTGTGTTCCTCAGAAACTGCACAAGGCAAAGGTGTGTTGCTAAAGCCATTGCTGTAATGCAAACTATCAGGCTGTCAGCCTAATAATTCAATATGCCTTCTACTAAACTGTTAATAAAAGCAGAGCCAAACTGCAGCATATTGAATAAAATCTGGCAAGACCTACACTGCCTGATGGATAAGTCACTTTGTCAAGAACAGGCATGTGCAACCAGTGCTCATGTATGCCCTTCAGACATTGATGTTCTTAGTGTATGGGGTAAGATGCATCTGGGCTCTGTTACTGGATCCCTGCTGCCCAGACTGGTAGCGTGGAAGTCAGCTGCTGGGAGGGGTCTGGCAGTGGTTTCTTATCTTACTTATCTAAGTAGGATAATAGCTGTAATATGAAGGCTGAGAGATTTAAGTAAAAGGAGTGTGTTGGATGGAAAATAATAGGGGTGTGAATCAGGCTTGCAAATCATTAAAGAAATTAGTAATTGGGCAAATGAAGGTAGATTGCACTACGAGACTGTCTTCCGTTGTGTTTTGATGTGACTAATTGACGTGAATAGAGAAAGCATTTCTAGTGAGAGGTAAGATAAGCACCTCTGCTGCTCCTCTCAGTCCTGTGCCTTCATCTTTCACTCTGTCCTGCAGCCCTACGGTACCTTGAGCTGTGAGTGACGCTGAGTCGTACTTGAGTGTATGTAGTGTAGCCAGTGTCTCTGCTATTGCAGCTCAGGGCCTCTTTGGATTGGGAAATACAGGTTGTGCTGAATTATACACATCTGTGTAACATTTTTAAAGTATGGTCTTTCACCTTATTTCTCTTAGTACTTGTTGGATTTGGGCCACTGGTGTGGCTGTAATGCATTGGGTAATGCTCTCCAGGGACGTTCAGACCGGAGGGGCTCTGAAGCTGGAAGCAGCGATGGGCCTGGCTTATGGTTGAACATTGGGCTCCGTTTCATGCACTGTACCAACCTGTGTCAGCCATGCTGGTTCAGACCTTGTCTGGAGTTAGAAATCAATAGCATTTGACTTCAGTATTCATCTGTCAGAAAACCAACACCATCAGTGTGGTCTTCGAGTGTTTGGAACAGTTTGCAGAGCAGCTTTTCTGTTTTTTTTTTTTTTTCTTTTTTTCTTATCCTCTGCTTCTGCGTGAAGATGCTGAACTGTTCTGCTGTAGCTCCTCATCCCAGGTGAGTGGTGCTAATGCACTGGCATAAATAGGGATAAACACGTTGGGAATCTGGAGCTCTGCTTTCCATCTTCCCATGTCTCTGCCACTTGCTTTGAATCCTGGTTTGCAGAAGCTTTGTAGCTTTCTTGAGCGACACCCAAGTTATGGAGTTATCAGTGCTGTGGACAGCTTGTTACTTGGCAGCAGCTCATAGCAGCCCTCACAAATTCCTGACCTTTTGCCATGTGCCTTCATGGCTTCATTAACCTCTGTCATGTAGGCATTGATGGTTTGTCAATTCGTGCCCCAGGCAGCCAGGACAGGCCCTGTTTGCTGGCACTGCACTGCGTGGTGCTCTCCCTGCTTGGCAGACAGGACCAGCTGAGGCAGCCTCTGCGTGTGGCATGGCCCCTGGCTCTGTGTGGCCAGCACTAGCCCCAGCTGCATCAAGCAGAATGAGCTGGGAGACAGAAAGAAGAAAGTAAGTGCAGGCATAATGTGATTTGACAAAGCTCTTTGGCCTTTGGAGGCCTGTCCTGCTGTGGGTAGGTGTTTTGGAAGGCCACCACTGAGCCTGGAACTAGCAGTAGTCGTGGGTCCCTCAGCAACGTCACTGCAGTGCTTGTGCTAGGAAAGCATCAGCTTGGCAGCAGAGGATTTTCTGGGTTTAGAGCACTGCATGACAAACCCTTTATCTCACTGCAGCTCCAAGTGGATGGCAACCAAGTTTTTACCATCTTGCAGCTCTTTGAACAGCTTCTGGGAGCTGAGTTTGTTGGTGTTGGACCAGCTCAGAAGGGGTGACTTCTAAGATCTGTTGAGTTGGTACTGAAGGTTAATCACTGGATGGGACCAAGAGGATGTGAATGACCCTCCCAAGTATGTGTTGTATGTAAAGGATATTTATTTGGATGTTACTTGTATTTGCCTCTCTCCTGGATAGATCTTTGGTGCTTTCAGACATTCATTGTATTCTTTTGGCTTGCTGTTCCTCCCCTGAAGCCAGCTGCACCTCCTCTTCATATGCTGAGTTTGGACTTTCCTTTTAAACGTGTGCGTGAATCGTTTACTGATTTCCAGCTTCATTTCTGGTGCTGTGCTTGGAACAGAGATGCTGCGAGGCAGGGGCTTGGTGTCCCCGGGACTGTGGATAATGCCAGCAGGTCTGGGTGCAGCTGCTGTGCCTCTTCCTCTGGTGAGGGGGTCAGTGCAGCTGCACTTGTGTCTGGGCTTGCATCTGGGAATGGGGAAGGGCTCCCTGCTGTGTAGCTCCTCCTGGTGCTCAGCATACTGATGGATGCTACTCGAGTGCAAATGATAATGCTTAACTCTTGGTGGATTCCCAGCCAGCCTCCAAACCAGGGCTTCTAAAGGAACCCACGGGCTCAGCTGGGAGATGGGAAGCCTCAGTGGCAGCACCAGTCCCTGAGCCCGTTGGGGTGAACCAGGGACATAGTCATTAGGAAGCAATTAAATGCTGAGCAGATTAAAAAGGAAATGGGTTCCCTGGGGGCTTTTAGCCAGGTTCCAATGTAGCTCCAAGGAAAACTCTTCAATCTTACTCTATTTTTCTGTTCCTCACGCACCACTTTGATGCTAATGTCCTTCAAGCTAGCCAGATCTCAGCACCTTTTATGGTCAGTAGATCAGGGAAGTATTTTCTGCTTTCCACAGGGCAGGAAGCAGTAGCTGGAATGTCACTGTGTGTCCCTGGGGCTGCTTTAAATCACTTATGCATCTCTGTTTTTTCCATCAGCCAGGAGATATGAGGAGCCACCTTCCTGAAGGCACTCGTAGCTCTTATTAAACAGCAATGAAGAGGGAAGAAGTCTTATCTTTTCCATTGCTTCCACTGCCTTATCAGGGGTAAAGCAGCGCTCGCTTCAGCGCACCACTGGTGGCTGGACCATACGTGGAACTGGATCGTTCTCCTCAGCCCTTTCCTGGGCTAGCTGCCTTTGTCCTGCTTGTGATGGTATTGCCAACGTACTGATGGCAAGACCAAGCTGTAGCCATGGTTAGCCCCAAGACTCTGTATGTCTGTAAGTCCAGTGTCAGTAACATCTGGGGAGCTTTGAGCTTTCTTCAGTGCTTGTCTCTTCCACGAAGTGGTTCTGACCATCTTTGTACTAGTACACTTGGGCATTTCTTTCTGTGCCTGCCTCTGCTTGTATTGAGGATCAGAGGAGGGCACAGAGCCATTTCCCAAGTGGGACATTCCTTACCTATTACTTCCTCAACAAACAATTTTGTTCTGTAGAGGGCTGCATTTCTCTGATAATCTTCTGCCTCCTTGAGTATTTGTCTCCCCAGTCCCGAGTCAGCCTACTCTGTGACATTTCCAGCGTGGCTCTCATCACAGCACCTGCATGTCTTGGTTGACACTTCTTATATTGCCGGCATCAATTTCTGTTGATCCTGCTGTCAGTCAGGAGGTATCTCACAACAAGCTGTTTGTTTAAGGGCTGGCATCAGTGGGCTCCTATGTTGTTGTCATTGTAGTGAGAGGATCGCAGCGGGTCAGTCATCTTGCAGGTTTCTGCACTAGTGGCCACAGCTGAAAATCTTGTCATCTGCCGATGTACGACAGAAGGTACTGCTGCAAATGTTGATGCAGGTATTTTTTTAAACTGAGAGGAGATGGCAAGGAGAGAAAGGATCTCTGGTCCAGGTGTCTCTGGAGACAGTGAGAATCCATTCTTGAATTAACTTTGCTGGCAACAGAATTGCTTTGTCAGGGAAAAGACATTTGGGGAGGTTAATTAACTTTCTTCCTTTTGAGAGCAGAATGTGGTTGTTCTCATTCAAACTCTTGGTTATTGGGCTGTCAGTAGCTGGGCAAATATTTGGAAGGTGTAATCTTGTGTCATCGTTACACAGAATAGGATTTCTTCCTCCATAAGAGTTATTCCTGGCGTATGTTGACTTTATTTCTCAAAGTGAGGTGGGTATTATCAAAAAAGAGATGTTTCACGGTGAAGTTGCCTGACTGAAGGATCCTACTGCCCTGGAAAGAAAGAGTGAGCACACATGCTTATTTTTCCAAAAATAGCCTCCAATTCCTGGATAGCTCAGACCAGTAAAACAGCCTGTGTCTGTGGCCCTTCCCCATGGTTAAGTAATGCTGTGTGCCTTAGTAGGAAGGGCTATCTTAAAATAGTTCCTTCGTGATGGAGCTGGGCTGTGTCTGCAGAGAGCGATGCCTGGGAGGTCTCCGTGGCATTCCTTCAGCCAGCCCTGAGCAGGGACCGGGGGCTGTTCCGCACCACATTCAGGGCATGCAGTGGTGGTTCCCTTCGACTTGAATTTGTGGTGAACTGGGCTGAGGAGCAAAAGAGCTCCCTTACGAGACATGGAATAGCCATTAGGTGGCAGTGACTTCCTGTCACCAAGCTAAATGGGAACCAGTAAGAGGTGAAGAGCCTCACAGCCCATCTACGGTCCCAGAGCTGATCATGTGAGGTTGCCCCATTATGTCCTCCCCAGGATATCTTTTCATCTAGAAGGCAGGGTTGGTGCTAATGCAGTCGAAAGAAGCTACTAGCAGGGCCAGCTGTTGGCTTGATGACTCTCCATTTGAGCACTGCTGTCTAGCAAACTTCCTGCCAACACATAAAGCATGAAAGCTTTGCACTGAAAACACATAACAAGCTGTAAAATAAATCTTACAATTATAAGAAACTTCCTTTTCCTCCTTCTGCTTTCTAGAGTGCTGTCAGCTGAACCTTATGGCCACAACATCTCTAGGTTTTAATTTAGTAGCATTGCAGGGAGGTCCATTTTTTGGGATGTGTGCCTACAAAACAGGATGTTCTT